ATTACAGCACAGGAACAGACCCTTTGGCCCTCCAAGCCTGCGCCGATCCAGATCCTCTATCTAAACCTGTTGCCTATTTTCCAAGGATCTGTATCCCTCTGCTCCCTGCCCATTCATGTATCTGTCTAGATACATCTTAAATGACGCTATTGTGCCCACCTCTACCACCTCCGCTGGCAACGCGTTCCAGGCACCCACCACCCTCTGCGTAAAGAACTTTCCACACGTATCTGGATACCAAGTAGAGCTTGGCCTCTACTATGTCCTCTCAATATGAACATATAAGTTGGGAGCAGGAGCAGACCACTCCAGCCCTTCAAACTTGTGCTGCCATCCAATAACATTAATGGCTGATCCGATGGCAATGTCAGATTCACTTTCTTGCCTCCCGCCGATCTCCTTTAATCACGTTGCCTAACGAGATTCTGTCCTGTTGAGACGTTAGACTATTCATGAAGTCTATTCCACAAACTTTTCAGGGAACAGCTCCACACAGCCACAACCAGAAGAAATCGTTTAGTGTAATCTACGGTTTAAATGGGTGACCCCGATTTTAAAACAGCCACTCCCAGTTCTCGATAGTCCCGTATGAGAAGCCATCCTCTCCGTGGCTACCCTTCAAGAACCCCCAGGCATTTTATTTTTCAGTTCAGTCACCTCTTAAACTTCTGAAAAAAATAAGGCAAGGTCGATCCAAATCTGTCCTCATAAACCAACCCACCAATTCCAAGTATTAGTCGAGTCAACATTCTCTAACTGCCTCCAATGTATTTACACCCCTCCCTCAATACAGTGATCTACAATGCCCTGAACAACTCCCCTCATAATAAATGAACACATTCCATTAACTTTCCAAACGACTGGTTTGGATGCACACCAACCTTATATGATTCATGTACTGGGACACTCAGATCCTTCTGCCCTCTTTCACCATTTTGATCATGTGCTTCTATTCTCCCCCTTCCTGCCAACTAATAACATATCTCCCCACAATTTCACTCCCCTTGCTGCACTTTTGCCTGCTCACTTAACCTGTTTATGTATTTTTGTAACTCTCTTCCCTACTTATCCTTATACCGGCCAGCAAAGATGGCGACCGCGGCTTCTGTCCCTTCGGGACACACCTCGCCAACTGTAGGACAAAAGACTTGCTGAGACCGACTCTCTTGCTGTCCCGGGACCATCACAAGGAGAACAGGGTTAGGATTCCACATCTAGAGCTGCAATGAATGGGCCCCCTCATCCAGTCGCTCCTGACGCCTGCTTGATATTTTTGAAGAACACACGCGCGCCTGGGGACCTCCTTACCCGGAGATTCTCCGTCTCCCGCACTTCCTGATTGACATCCTTCAAGATATTCCGACAGCAGTCAGCTGCTTGTTGCACCATCTGCTTCTCCGCTGGTTGATCTGCGTTGGGGGTAGAGACAGACCATGGATCGAGAGCGGGCGACAGGCACAAACTCCAGAACTTGTCCCATCCCAGGCGGTGTGCGGCTTGCTAAACAGTCGCACGGTCCATACAAACGCAGCGGCTACAAGAGCAGCTCAGAGGCTGGGAATCCCCCCAAAAGCCTGCCCCACCATCTACAAGGCACAAGTCAGGAGTGGGATGGAATACTCCCCCCTTGTCCTGGATGGGTGCAGCCCCAACAACACTCAAGCAGCTCGACACCATCCAGGACAAAGCAACCACTTGATTGGCACCACATCCACAAACATCCCACTCCCTCCACCACCAGCGTCGGGTATTATTTACAAGATGCATGGCAGGAATTTGCCAAAGATCATCAGTCAGCACCTTCCAAACCCAGCCTTTTACTCGTCAAGGCTTTGAATGCTAGAGCAGGGGGTTTACGATGGAGCTGCATATGGCACAAGTTAAACTGGAGTGCTGTGAGCAGTTCTGGTCGACGCACAATAGGAAGGGTATGATTGCAAACGGAAGTGCAGAGGGGATTCGCCTGGACGTTGCTGAGGCTTGAGTGACGAAGGGTGAGAGCGGCCTGAGGGGGATGGTAACGTGACTGAAGTGTACAAAGTTCTGAGAGGATGGAAGATAGGCACCCCTTTGTAGGTAGGGCCAAGAAGCGGGCCACACAGTTTGAAGGTGAGGAACAGGAGGATTTGAAGAGAGTTTGAGG